GAGGGCGGGGGGGCATCAGGTGGCTGGCTCGATCCGTGCCAGGTGCAGGGTCTGCTGGCTGGGTGCTGGCAGACTTGCACCTGGCACGGGCACCATAGCCAGACCGTGCCCCTTTAAGGGCTCTGGGGCCAGGAGGGGGGCAGAAGAGTTTCCCTGGTGGTGCCCAGAGTGGCCAACAGGGAAAGCTGGGGAGGGCTAGCCTCCCACTAGTTCGAATTAAGTGGCTACACACCCCTTAATTCGAACTAGTTAATTCGAACTAGGCATTAGTCTTCGTAGAATGAGGTTTACCTAGTTCGAATTAAGCGCTCCACTAGTTCGAATTAAGTTCGAACTAGCGGTTTGCATGTGTAGCGCCTATCAAAGTTAATTCGAACTAATGTCTGTTAGTTCGAATTAACTTTGTAGTGTAGACATACCCTTATTGATTTCAGTGGGCTTTGGCGTAAGTCCTTAGAGATTGCTTTGCCAATTAAGCTAGCCATAGCTAGGATGGGATCCTGAAGTCCTTACTCATTCCAAGGTCCCATGGGAATAACACATTCAGCACTGGAGACTTAAGCACCAAAGAGACTGAGACAAATTGGAGGGAATTCAGAGGTCATCAAAGGTCCTGAAAGGCTGGCAGGAATGAGGAGAGGCTAAAATCTTGCTGGGCAAATCCTGCAGTCATTAGGCAAAACTGTATCAGCTTTTTCCTTGACTTTCTGCATCATGTGTTCCTATTGCTTCTTGTAATGCCTCCCATTTCTACCCCCAGCACTGGTATTGGCATTGACATCTTGCGCCCAGTGCTGCTGATATGCCCCTGCATTCTGGCTGTTTTACAGATGTAATGTAATTAAAATCCCCATCTGAAACCCGGGGATTAGGCGTTCGTCTAGCCTCTCCTTAAGGTCAGGGTCAAGTACCTGAAGTGGAGGGCAGGCAAATCCCGCCGTGGGAGAAGCCAGGCAGGGTGAAGAGCAACATTTCCGACAAAGCCAATTGCTGGTGTTTGACGGATACAAAATCTGCTGCAAATAGATTACACACCCGGGCTTTGCCTATTTTTCTGTAGCCATGCTTTACTGTAAGGGCCACACAGTGAAGTTTAAAACCAAGCAGCAACCCAACCCACGCCCCCTTTTTTTTTCAGACCCTTCTTGGGGAGCTAGCCCCTTAGCGTGTCAATACTGCCTTTCTCTCAGGACTCAATGGGGCATTATTAACAGCAGGGTTATTGAAAGCAGAACTCCTGGGTTTTTCAATGGGAGCTCTGTGCAGGGCAAAATATTGCGCAATCTGTTTTCATGGGCTGCTGGTTCCCTTTCCTCCCCCATGCATGCACCCTCCCCATGCACACACCTAACCTCCCAGCCTCCAAATGAAAATACGAAAGGCGTTTAATAAGTCCCATTTTTCCTTCTTCATAGCAAGACTTTTGACCTAATAGGTCATCAGGCTCTAGTCCAGGCCTGAACTGTAGACTGCGTTGCTCTTCTTGCCTTAGATGTTTAATGGCTTCCGTTCTCCCTAATTAATGTGTGCTTTTTGGAGGGGGGGAAGTTTGATGAAAGAGCCGAGGCAAGTCGGGAAAAGAAAAACTCAGTCTAAAGGGTAGCGGGAGCTTGTTGACTGAAGCAAAACCCAAGCAGAAACTCTCAGAGCTACATGGTAATGAAGTGTGCTTCCGTTTATCCACATTTCAAGAAAGATGTGGAGAAATTGGAAAGGGTACAGAGAAGAGCGACAAGAATGATTAAAGGTCTAGAGAACATGACCTATGAAGCCAGGCTTCATGAACTGGGCTTGTTTAGTTTGGAAAAAAGAAGATCAAGGGGGGACATGATAGCGGTTTTCAAATATCTAAAAGGGTGTCACAAGGAGGAAGGAGAAAATTTGTTCCTCTTGGTTTCTGAGGACAGGACAAGGAGTAATGGGCTTAAAGTGCAGCAGGGGAAGTTTAGATTGGACATTAGGAAAAAATTCCTAACTGTCAGGGTGGTCAAATATTGGAATAAATTGCCAAGGGAGGTGGTGGAATCTCCCTCTCAGGAGATATTTAAGAACAGGTTAGATAGACATCTGTCAGGGATGGTGTAGACGGAGCTTGGTCCTGCCTTGAAGGCAGGGGGCTGGACTCGATGACCTCTCGAGGTCCCTTCCAGTCCTATTATTCTATGATTCTATGATCCCTGGGAGAACAGTGTGGAAGTGGGATATTTCCTATGATGGTGTGCGTATGCTTCTATAGATAATGGTCTCTTAGCATTTCCATGATATCGGCCCCCAGTTACAGGATTTCGAACTTAGCTGTAAAAACTCCCTGCAGGCGGATACAGCAAATTCAAACTCAAAAAGAACAAATTCCCGTTAGCAATTTTGCAATTAAAAAAGAAGCTTTGACTTTTAAACACTTGGGTAAATAAGGGGGTCCAACTCTCCAGCCATCCTGGAAATGGACAAAGGGTCCGTTTCAAGCAATCATTATTCTGACGGTCGCCCCTGTCCTGTTCAGTCCGTCAGTGGTGAACCAACTCCCATTCATCCAAGTAGGGGTCACTATTTATAAGCATTTGTCTAACAGTGGTGGGTCAAGATCCACTACCCACTTAGCTCAGCAGAAATCACTCCTTTGACTTCCTTCAGCTTGGGAGCAGGTTCTTACTGAATCAGGGCTTGTTCACACAGCAAATTATTGAGCTCAGAGTGCCCGGTAGAGTCATATCCTTAACATGCAGTGATTCACCTTGTAGACAAGCTCTTGGTCTT